CACCAGCCACTCCTTGGAAGGAAGATGGGGCAACCTACTTCTGTAGTGATACTGCCTCGGAAACCCAAGGAGGGGTCACTATGAATCGGGTCTGACTCCATGGCACATAACAACAACAACAACAACAATACCAAGTGTTGGTGAGAATGTGGAGCAACAGGAACTATTATTATACATTGTTTGTGGGAGTGTAAATGGATGACCTAGTGTAGAAAACATATTTCTGGTAAACTTGGACGCTAACATAATACCATCTAATTCAACTCTTAGATATATACTATAGAGCAACTCTCTTGAGCTTGTGCATCAGCAGACATGAACAAGATTGATTACAGCAGCACTGATAGTAATAGCTGTCCCCCACCCCCCGCAAAAAAAAAAAAAAGTTATTTGGGACAATTAGGAGACAGAACCACACCAGTTATTTCAAGAGAGAAAATTTAATATAAAGAGTTGTTAACTAGGTGTAAAGTTGTTAATTGGGTGACTAAAAAGATATTAAAATAATTTTAAGGTGTAATGAAGGTAGCAATATCAGAAAGCAACTTCTACCCCTAAAGCTGAGGGAACAAAGAGAAGTGGTTGAAATAATTAAAACTTAGAAACTTAGAGGAGGGGCTCCGTAGCGCTGAGATTCACATATCTGAGAAAGGAGCTCTGTACTGCTGGGGCTGGTGGCTCTGAGCCCAGAGGACAGTCAGGTACAGCAGGGACTCAGGATCAGGTAGAACAGGCACTCAGACTTTGCAGGATGAGGTGCTATCATGTGGGACTGGTATATCTGAGCTCAGGGGTGGGGTCTTAGGAGGCTGCATGCCAGATCCCTCTGAAGCGGGTGTGGATGGGTGACATGAAAAGGAGTTGATACTACAGTACGATTCCAGCACCCAATGCAACTGAATGTCTTGCTATGTCATAGGTCTATAAGCCTTGTTGCCAACTGTTATGGGCTTCTTGTTGCTAACCCTGGGTGATGCCCATAGGGATGTCTCCTCCCTGCTCTAGTCTCACTGTCTCCTTATAGCTCACCCAACTTATTGGCAGAGTCTTAACAGAAAGCAAGCTGGCAATGCCACATGTGGTCAGTAGAGTCCCAAATGCAGCATAGCAGAGCAGATTTCTTTTTCCTTTTGCTTTATTCTGTTTTCTTCCTTTCTTTTGGTGCAATATATGTAACAAAACATTTGCCATTTCAACTATTTTATGTGTATAATTCAGTGACTTATTATTTTTCCATGCTGTGCAGCCGTCACTGCTATTTCCACATGTTCTCATTACCCTTATCAGAAACTCAGTACCCCTTAAGCAACAGTAGATATTTTTTATATTACCAAATATATTTTTAAAAATCCTAAATTAGTCTGACTATAAATATTGTACTTACAACCACCTGCGCTCTGCCTCTGTATGCGATGGGTTTACTTTTCTATCTTTTGCATTTTAGTCTTTCTTATTGCTAAAATGGCAAGGAGACCACATCTTCAGACCTCCTGTAACTGGACAAGAGGAAGACAGAAGCACTATCAGGAACCCAAGGCCTATTCCTGCAAGGCCAGACATGCTGCCTCCCTCCAGCCCTTTCACCAACTGTTTCTCCCAAAGCACCCACCACCTTTCTGATGGGGTCGATAATTCACTGCAGGGGCCACACAGAACTCACAGATTATGGGGTTTATTAGGGAAGTACTAGATTACAATTCAAGTTCAGGAAAAACGCTCAGTTTCTCTCAGCCCACCGTCTCTCAGCCAATAGTCTCTCACAGTCTCTCTCCCAGCAGTGCGTGTCCCTCGGTGTCTCTCTCAGCAATGGGTGTCTCTTATGTCTCTTTCCCAGCAGCACGTGTGTCTCAGGAGCACGTGTCTCTTTCGGCAGCTCATTCTTCTCAGCCAGCAGTCAGAGAGACTTCTGCCTCCAGGAGGCCTCCTTTTGAGCCTGGCCCAGTGGCCAAACCAGCCAATCATAACATCAGAATTCTAAGCACCTGAGAGAGAGCGGAACTTCCCAGAGCATTACTTTGTGCTGCTCCCAACAGAAATACCCCAGGTGGATGATTTTAACCATCAGCTCCTCACTTGCTCCCGGCAAATTCCGCCAGGGAGTTTGCAAAGAGTTATGGCTAGAAAAAACATACCAGGTAATTTACTACACCTCACTTATACCAAAGTCAATGGCAATGAGTCAACCTGTTAGAAACCCATTGGGTTTCCAGGGCTGTACATCTTTACGGAAGCAAACTGCCTCATCTTTCTCCCACAGAGTGACTTGTGGGTTTGAACCATCAGCCTTTTGGTTAGCAGCTAAATGCCTTCACCACTACATCACCAGAGCTCCTTAGTCTTTCTTACAACCCAAACAAACCAAACCCACTGTCACCAAGTCAATTCCAACTCATAGTAATCCCTGTTGGGTTTCCAACATTGTAAATATTTATGGAAGTAGCTTGCCTCATCTTCCTCCTGTGAAGCAGTTGGTGGGTTTGAACCACTGACCTTGGGATTAGCAACTGAATATCTTACCCCCTACACCATCAGGGCTTCTTTAGTCTTTCATATAAGCAGATAAAAATTTTCAAAGGTATGATTCCAGCACCCCGTGCAACTTAATGTCTTGCCATATCATAGGCCCATAGGCCCTGTTGCCAACTGTTGTGGGCTTGTTGTCACCAACCCTGTATGAATCAAATGCCATTGTCATAATCATTTCTTCTCTTTGCTTCTTTCAGCATCTGGATTGTATTCCTTAGGGCTTCTGGTTTCAAACGAGGGACACACTACTCAAACAAGCTTAAGTCTCTTTCTGCCCCCAAAATCAGTGTGTGTGTGGTGGTGAAATGGTTGCATTTAGTGTCTTTAGTAGCTGGAGAGAATGCAGAGTTAACTCACAGAACTAGGGACTAAAATGAGCCAAGACTCTCCCTCTCTGTCCATTTCTTGTTTGGACCTCTCTCAACTTCTCTTTGAAGATTAGTTTCTTTCTTTCCTACTACAGATAGGTCTTCTTCATCTTCCAGGGAACATGGCTACTGGCATCTTCAGCTTTGCAATAGCAGTAGAAAGAGCATCCAAATAACAGTTCCAGAGAAGGACTGTGATTAGCTCTGTTGAGTTACATCCCCATCCATTGGGCCAATCATATTATTAGGGTGACTGTAAATTATAATTGGCCAGCCTGATCACATGCTCATTCCTGTGGCCAGGGTGCTGTTACAGTCTGTTGATAGCAGATAAAGGGGGATGGGAAGGCTGCTAGGAAGACAGAAAATAGCCACAAAGTCACTATATAGGGTTCTGATTTTTCACTATGGCAGCACTCAATAAACATCTTCACACATTGAGTTCTTTCTTTGTTTTAATGATCACCTCGTGAGAAATTTCCAAGTAGAGGATCACCTCTATGGTACTTGCTGGAGGTCATATAATGTGTTTTCAAAGCATATTGATACCAAATGTCATCTTTGTCCCTCATAAAAACCCTGAGAAGTGCGGGACATCAAGCTCAACTGGCATAGCATACTACACAAAAACATTGTTCCACATCCTGCTTTGGCAAGTAGTGACTGGGTTCTTAAAAGCTTGCAAGCAGCCATCTAGATGCAACGAAGTGTCTCTCCTTGTCCAGAGCAAAGAAGAATGAAGAAAACCAAAGACACATGGAAACAATTAGTCCAAGGGACTGGTACACCATGTGATCTTCATCCTATATGACTATGAGACCAGAAGAACTAGATGGTGCCCAGCTACCTATGTCAACCACTCAGAGGGGGATCTATGCAGGAGATCCTGGATAGAGTGGGAGAACAATGTGGAGCAAAACTCAAAATCATTGAAAAAAAAAAAGGAGGGGGGACCAGGTTGCTGGTCTGATAGAGCCTAATGGAACCACTGAGACTATGGCCCCTAGCTGCCCTTCAGATCTAGAACTGAACCCATTCCTGTATCTTCCAGTCAAACAAAAGACAGGCATATGAGCTGAACATTAGGTAGATACACTCCTTGGAGAGATCAATCATGAGAGAATAGAAGGGCTGTGTATGCACAGGGAGACAGCTTGTGGGGCAGGAGTGCATGGGAGGGAAGTACACAGGGAAGAGGTAACTATGGGGAGGAAGTTGGAGGGGAGCTGTTGCATTGTGGGAAATTGCAATCAATGTCATGAGACAAAGTATATGTGAACTTCTGTATGGAAAATGAATTTGCTCTGTAAACTCATCCAAATCACAATAAAAATTAAAAAAAAAAAATCTGAAAAGTGACAAAAAGGAACCCAAAACATAGAAGAATTAAATGACAGGTCCAGGAACACACAATGGATGAGGACAGAGGGAAACCCAGAGCCCTGGCCTTCTGACTCCAGTGCTCTCACCCCACAATAGCACATTCAACATCTACACTGGTGGAGGGAGGGTTTAAGCCCAGGTCATCTCTGGCCAGTTAAGGGAGAGAGCTGCGTCTGCTGTCTTCTCGGTGGAGCTGGGCCAGCCGCCTCAAGGAGAGAGGCTGGTGGCTCCTGCCTTCGGAGCCTGCTCGAGCTCTGATAGGGGAGGGCCCTCCGCTGGACCTGGCATCCTCCCAGTGGGCACTCTCAGCACGCAGCTCCTCCAGGACACTGTGGAGATGCCTCAGTGTGAGCAGAAGTCTCTGGTCTTGGACCTGCATCTCAGACTAGGGGAGAGAACAAGGCCATTAGGGAGTGCAGAGCACATTCGTCATAAATCACATTCCCACCACTTCCCATCGGATGCCCACTTGTGAGCTGCACAGCCTTGGAGCAGTCTTGTCTACCAAGCTTCAGTTTCTTCATCTGCAAATTGGGAAGCAAACCATTTACCTATAAGGCTCTTAAGAGAACTGAACAGATTAGCCCACTGGAAAGCACTTTCTAAAATGTGATGTGCTGAGCTACCAAGGTTTATGATTATCTTCATCATCATCATTTTATTAAATGTTATTATTCTTATTTGCCAGGGAAAACCTTATGAACAGCAAAGAAACATTGTCTGATACATTACCACGCAACTTTCTGGCGCGGGATCGGGTGGTGTTTCGTTCTGCTGTGCATGGGGTCGTTATGAGTCGGAAATGACTCAACAGCACCTAATAACAACAACATTCATATTTGCAGCTGCACTGTATCTTTCAGTCTTCATCATAACAAGTCTTATTTTTTTTAGGTATTAAGGTGATAGAATGCTCTGTTGTGATCCATAAGGTTTCCATTGGCTGATTTTCAGAAACAGGTTGCCATGCCTTTCTCCCTGAACAGACTTAGTGTGGAAGCTCTACTGAAATCTGCCCACCATGGTGACCCGACTGGTATTTGAAATGCTGGTAGCATAGCTTCCAGCATCATGGCAACATGCAAGGCGGCACAGTACGACAAACTGACAGGTGGATGGTGGGCAATGTTTTCTTCTGTTATACATAAAGTCAGCATAAGACAGAGTTCACTCGATGTCAACAAACAACGAGATAGAGGTTTCAGATTAAAGATAAGTGGAGTAAACCCTGTAGGAAGACAGGAACCCTTTAGGACAGCAATTCTCAACATGTTGTTCATGGCTCCCTCAAAAAAACACAACCAAACCCATTGCCAACAAGTTTGTTCTGACTCATAGTGACCCAATAGGACAGAGTAGAACTTCCCCATAGGGTTTCCAAGGCTGTAAATCTTCATGGAAGCAGCAGACTGTCTCATCTCTCTCCCACGGAGTGGCTGGTGGGTTTGGACTGCCAGCCTTTCAATTAGCAGCCAAGAGCTTAACCACTGCACCACAAGGGCTCCTTTGGAGACCACTCAGGTCCTAAAAACCCTTTCAGGGGTTCAATGAAGTCAAAACTATTTTCTTAACAATACTGAGAGGTTATTGGTCCTTCTCAATTTCATTTTCATGAATGTGCAGTGGAGTTCTCCAGAAGCTACCTGATGTGTGATGACACAACAGATTCAATATAGACGCAGATATGAGACTCCAGCTGTCTTCTATGAAGGGAGACATTAAAGAGATTTGCAGCAATGTAAAACAATGTCACTCTTCTCACTCATGTTTGCTTTGAAAATATAGTTATTTTAATTAAATAAATATTTTAATTGAGATATTGTTTTATTAGTATGTAATGAGTTTTTGTTATTTAAAATGCATTAATAAATAAATATTTACATTTTCTCAGCATTGATTTCTAATTTAATCAACATTGGTAAATACAATTAACATAAACAAAAGTTTTTTGGTGTCCTCAGTAATTTTGTGGTGTGCTGGTAGCATAGTGCCTAAGGTATCTGATTGCTAACCAAAAGGCTGGCAGTTCAAACCCACCAGCCACTCCTCAGAAGGAAGCTTGGGCAATCTACTTCCGTAGTGATACTGCCTCAAAAACCCAAGGAGGGGTCGCTATGAGTTGGATCTGACTCAACGGCACATAACAACAACAGCAACAGTCATTTTTAACTGTCTCATCTCACAAGGCAAGAAGTCCTGAGGTAGAAGGGCTCTGGGCTCAATTTGGTCAAGTCCCACAGCACTTAGCTCTGTCCTCCTTTGGAGGGAATGGGCAGTTAGTCATCAGGCTGGTTTGTTTTATGATCACTGCAGCCCTCTCCCCTCTTTTAGACCTAGCCAGGAGTTTTGGGCTGGCACGATCCTGGGAAAGTGGGGAGAGGACCAGACTCTGGTGGATACTAGTCATTGGTGTCGCTGATTGCCCCTCCTGCTGCATGGAGTGACTGTCCAGTGCTGGTCTCACCGGGAAGGTCAAGTGGAACTGTAGTAGTATGGACAGATTAGAATTTCTGGGAGATGAATATGTGTTCTGAGTTCCATATTAATCTTGTTTGATTTAAACATTGCCTTACTCTGCTACTTGTAGCCATAAACACATAAGAATCCTGCCCCTGCAATCACATTCCTAACATCATAAAACCAGCTCACAGCACAGGGCAACTGTGTTCCTTAGATCATGAGACTAAGAAAGAAACACTGCAAAACAAATAACACAAATATAAATTTACTACTTAAATGACTTTTCCTAGTAACAAGCCATTCTTGAGATGTCTTCCAGCTCACTAGCTGTGGCCAGCATTAACCAGTTTGGAGCCTGCACACCCCTGCCCTTCCTTTGCCACCTGATGAACTAAGATGGCCAATCCAAGATGAGACCAAGACTCGAAGCAAGGGCAAACAGCAGACTGAGCATAGCCTGAAGGAAGCTGAGGAATTTATCACAACCTTCTTCTGCTTCCTGACCTTCGCAAAAAGGTCAGGATTTTATGAATACCTGTCTGTGCAAGGTCTCTTGTGAAATCAAACCATGGCCTTAAAAAAACTACTATAAAAACCCCTAGCCTGTAAAGTCAGGGAGACACACATTGCATTGCCTCTAGCCCCATGTGTCTCCACCTTGCAAGGTTACTATCTACTGTCTTCTTATTAAATTATTCTCTGAGCCGCAGCTGACTTTCTAGTCAATATTTCAGAACCCAGTCTGCAACAGAGCTTCTTGGGTAAGTTCCAGACAGGTCCTTACAGAGCCAGGTATCATTCTGTGTGATAGGGGTTAAAACCAAGCTTGACTGGGAAAGTTTACAAGTCAGGGATCAGCAAAAGGAGATGCAAGGTTCCTTCCTTTCTTAATATCATGGAGCAAGAGATGCTTGGGTCTGGGCAATGCTTCTGGTTGCTTTCCTCCCACCTTGCTCTCTGTCTTCATGGCCTGAGAGAATGGTACTTTATCAGTAGGGAAATCAACACTTTGGGGTCAGGCACTAAGTAGCCTCAGCTTAGGTACCCACTGTTTAGGGCAGAGCTGGATGGCCAGCTGCCTGGCATCCGGACACCCGAGGACTGTGGGAAGTGACATTCCCTGTGGCTGGAGACAGGAATTCCCTGACATATTGAGAAGCTCTGTTGGATCAGCCCCTCCCATGGGATAAAGACAGGATTGGGTCCCAGCTGGCTTGTTAGCTGACAACCCAGAAAGAGCCTCTGGGGTCACTTCCCCTCAATCCTGTCTGTCCCTGTATAGCATGAGAAGCTGGCCTCTTGGAATACAAACTTTGGGGGCCTCCTGAAATTCTCTGAGTTGCCTCCTCTCTCTTGGTTGGTGCTCTATGTACTTTGGGGCACCCCTCCACTTTTGGACTTGAATAAAATACCACAATAAGGGGCATAGGAATTGGCTTCTTGAGCAGCCAACAAGGGGCCAAGTAACATAACACAGAAGTTCAGAAGTACCCCATGGGGTGGCTTTATACCAACAGGAAATGGAAGACAGGAGCAAGCTGAGCAGATACATTTCCTCTCCTTTCTCTCTTCCCCAAGATGCATTTCTTCTTTCAATCCCTGCAGAGAACTCCTAGAGCCAAGTAGGCTAGCTTGCTGAGAGACCTGCTGGGCCTCTGCAAGGCTCCTTCTGAAGTGACAGCCAGCTCAGTAACTCAATTCATTGCCCTGCAGTGCACTGACCTTTGTTTCAATCCCCCATCTCCCTCACTCTGACCACTCTGTTTGCACCTCCAAACAATTGTTAGTACCTTAATCCTTGTTCGATCCTCTGCTTTCTGCATGGCTTAGGCTAAGATAGTGGGTATACTCCATGTCCACCTGGGCCAGGAAGGAATAGTCAATAAGGAACGTCCAAGCGTAAAGCAGTTGCTGGTGAATTGATTCCAACTCATAGAGACCCCCTGTGTGTCAGAGCATAACTGTGCTCCCTGGGGTTTTGTTTTGGTTTTCTAGTGCTGCTACAACAGACGTACCACAAGTGGATGGCTCAACAAATGGGGATTTATTCTCTTACAGTTTAGGAGGCTAGAAGTCTGAGTTCAAAGTGTGAGCTCTAGGGGCTGGGTGAAGGCCCTTCAACCTTGGGCTTCAGCTCTGCCTCTTGCTCCAGGCCCACTGAAGCTGGAGGCTTCTCTTAACTCAAGTAGCTGCTGGCTGCGGAGGCTGACAAACCCAAGGTTAACAAGTAAAATGGCACAGTCCCAACCTTATCAAGCAACACAGCAGGCCACTAGTTCAAGCTCATAAACAGTCTCAAGATCGGCAGACAACATAGCAGGCCACTGAGATGAAGACTACCTGCTACGTGCAGGTTTCAAACATGCCAAAAAGCTCAGAGACCTTTCTCAAAGCATCTTTTTATTATTATTATTATTATTAGGATTTGGGTGAAGATTTACAGAGTAAATTCACTTTTCATACAGCAGTTCACATATACTTTGTCTCATGTCATTGACCAAAATTTACAATGCAGCAGCTCCCCTCCCACTTCCTCCCCATAGTTACCTCCTCCCAGTGTCCATCCCTTCATACTCTTCTGCACCCTGAGCTATCTCCCTGTGCATAAGCAGCCCTTCCTTCTCCCATGATTGTTCTCTCCAGGGCGTGTGTCTACTTGAGGTAAATGTTTAACTCACATGCCTGTATTTTGTTTGGCTGGAAACCACAGTTGTGGGTTCAATTCCAGACCTGAAGGGCAACTAGGGGCCATAGTCTCAGTGGTTACACCAGGCTCTATTGGACCAGCAAACCTGGTCCCCACCTTCTCAAAGCATCTTCTTGTATACTGGAAACAGACCACATTCCTAAGGCAGCTACTCAGCTGCTCACAGTAGATTCTACCATGGAGTTGATTACCGATCTCATCATGGGGAATACTACATCCAGCTACCCAGCCACTCAAAACCAGGCCCAGCCAAGCTGAAACATAACCTTAACGACCACAGTTTTCAATGGCTGATGTTTTAGATGTAGATCAGTCTTTCTAACACGGTGTCTTTGGGTGAACTAAGTGTGTTAACCATTTGCATCATGCAGGGGTTCCAATTCTTGTCTGAGCCTCTGCTTCCTAGAGGACCCAGGCAGCAGGTATACTTCTTTTCCACCTGGGTCAGGATGTAATTGTCAACATGGATGTTCCAAGCATACAATAAGTGAATTACACATGTCTCATCATTGAATCCTTATAATAACCCCTATGATGTTGGTACTGTTGTTATCCCCATTTTATAAGGGCTCAGAGAGATAAAGCCTCACTGGGTGCCACACAGCAGCAGAGCTGGGCACATAACCAAGAACTTATTGTAATGCCAACACCAGCCTGGCATGCACTTCAGCTGGTACCTCCTATGTAGGCCATGACCTACTTATCCCAGCACCTGAGATTGCAATTGTGCAGCATGGCTGGTCCCAGAGGGGTGCTTGTAGGGGCCACACACCAGCCTGCAGCCTCTGTCCCAGACAAGGGGGTACCTTGGGGAGACCAGGGAGCCTTGGAAAATAGGAGATAGGGGCTACAGGTAGAAAGAAATGCAAAGCCTTACCAGTTCCTTTCTCAGCCACTCCAGGGTCTGCCTGAGATTCGTGGTGGGGTCCTCTGCTGTTTTCATCTCCGAGTCCTTGGAAGACACCTTGGCGCTGACCTGGACGTGGGCCTGATGGGCCTTTGACTTCTACAGTTCCCCACCTCCTTCAGTCTGTGAGCAAGCTCTGGCCAAGTCACCGAGAATGGAGCTAATGAGAGCAGAAAGTGGCTCACACTCTCTGAGTGGGAAAGATAGGCTTTTTTTTTTTTTAAAGAGCTTCAGTGCTCAGAGCAGAACAAAAGAAGAGGGAGGGAGACCAGTGGGGATATGGGTGTCCCAGTATCTGCTGGCTTGAGAAGCCAAGAACATCTGATGCCAATAGGATCGCAGAGACTGTAATGCTTTAAATGATAATAAGAATTATTATTATGAAAATAGGTGCCCCTTTCTAAGGGCTTGTTTTGCTCATTGCTTTATATGTGTATATTATCTTATTTGGGGCAGATACACCACCTTTGCCTCCAGTCCTTTCCTCACTCTTTCACCTGTGAATCTGTTATTGTTGCTAGCCATCAGGGTGATTCTAAAACATAATGTCGCATGTGTGCACAGCAGAACTGCTCCATAAGTTCTCCAAGGTTGTCACCCCTCAGAAGCAGATCACCAGGCTTTACTTCTAGGCACCTTTGGGTGGGTTTGAACCACCAACCTTTAGGTTAGTCATCCAGCACTTAACTGTCTGTGCTACCCAGGAACTCCCCTCTATAGAGTCTAGATAAAGGGAAATATTCACTTTTCAGGTTTCCTTGCTTCTGGGATGGCCATGTAGCCCACTTCTAGCCAATGAGATAAAAGTTGAAATTTGCTCTTAGACTTCTAGAAAAACCTTTATCTTCCTGATAAGACAGAAACATCCTTGATGCTCTCCCTTTGCTCCTACTTCCTTCTGTCTTATATGTGGATATAATCCCTGGAGCTACAGTAACCATCTCACAACCATAAGACAAAGGCCAAGAAAATTTCTGAGATACTTGAAATCATTGAGTCACAGAATCAGTGGCAGCATCTGCGTGACTTCAGGCTTCCTGTTCTGTGAGACAATAAGCCCCATTCTTAGTTGAGCTCACTGTTACTTGCAGCCAAACAGAGTTTATATATGATTCACCATTTATTCTTCACAACACACTATGAAGTGGGTATTCTTTTATTCCCTCTTTCAACAAACACTTATTGAATGCCTGTTATGCATGAAGCTTTGCTCTCAGTCCTGGAGATACAGCCAAAAAAACAGACAAAAAAGATCTTTGCTTTCCTGGAGGTGACATCCTAGTGAGCAAAGACAAACAATAATCAAAATAAAGCTATATTTAAAATAAAATAGGGTCTATTCCTCACACGGGTTTTTTGTTGTTGTGATGGGGATGTGGTAATGATTTAAAATTTATATTATCCACATGAACTAATAGTATTAGTTGCCTTTGGATTGATTCTGACTCATGGCAACCCCACGTATCCTCCATAGCTGACTGTTTAGTAGGACACCAGGCCTTTCCTCCAGGTGCCTCAGGAGGACTCAAACCTCCAATATTCTGGTTACCTGCAGAGCATGTTAAGTGATTGTACCATCCAGGGACTCCCACATGAACTAGCAACTAAACTGAAAAATAACATAAAAAATGA